ATCGCAAAGCGATCAACTTTCCTTCTGCATGACTTACAGGAATTTTTCTCTGACGTCGTGCTCAATTTTTATTCTGGTCCATCCTTAAGCGGGTTTCCATGAAGTGCGATACGACAGTATATAACACTTAACTCATTTACATAGCCAGATGAAAAGTAAGCACTAGTAAGTTTTAATGCGATACGTGGAGAAGTCAGTCATACCGTCCTCTGTTTTTCCTACACTGTTCTTCTTTAGACGGCGAGGAATCTAGACGTTTTCTTTTTGCAAGCCTTAGTGAACCAGTTTCTGCGGCACTTGAACATGTTTCTTGTTTTTGAGGTCGCCTCTGAACTTCTTTGTCACTATCGGCAGAAAATATCTGTTAATAATAAAATAATAATAATAATAATAATAATAATACAGTCAAAGCTCTTTGAGCTGATACTCTCGTAAACAGACAGCTCTACTTACGGTCGCCTTCGCAAAGCCCCGCTTGAACTCTCGCTCAAATCAACTCTGTATTTACACATTCCCTAAATAAAAAACAATGTAAACACATGTGCCTGCAGGCGCTCTGTTGATAATAAGGCAGCTATCTATTCTCCATAAGCGGGCAGCTCTAGTTGTGGACACGTTTTACGTACTTCCCAACTAGGGTGTCCGCTTATAGGAGCTCCTAATGTAACAGCAATTGTAAAAACAATAACAGACTTTATTTCGGCGGACGGCCACTTACTTTGTCTCCAGTGTAAATACAGCTAATGATTGGCTTGTGCTGGACTTCACACCACAGTAGTTGAGATGCTCCCAAAGCCAGGCACATAGCGACATCCAAACTTCCGGAGAATTATCTGTTCCTACCAGTACAAGACCATTGCCTTTTCCAGGAATCAGTGAAACTGGATGTGTGTCGATGAGAAAAGGTCTCGCATTAGCACATCCAACCGTCAAAACCAAAGGATCAGTGGCGAAGACAGCAGTGCAGTCTTTAGAACTAAGATGGCAGAGTTTGGAGTGCAGTTTTTCCCTGGCAGCAAAAGAATAGACCCCGTCTGCAAAAGGCAGTTCTTCGGAGATATCGTACGAACACGAAATGATATCTTGCTTCTTTAGAATGATATATGCCAACATAGCATCGTACGTTTTGCTAAGATCGCCGTGCATGTTAATTTTCTCCGGCAAAAACCAAATGGCATGTTCAACAGACTCAGCTAAACGTGCGAAAAAATCATCACCACTTTCCAACGAGGTTAAGATGACATCAGCCACGTTAACGGAGAGGAAAGCCCACGCATTGGTACCATCGTTTGCTAGGGCGGACTCTATCGGTACAACGTGTGCGGAACTCTCCGCGAGTTCATGCCGGAACAAGCTCATGGTCAAACTCCTCCACAGCGGTGGCTTGGCTTATGCTCAAGTGAATAAAATGGAGATCTCTCCTGAAGCGGTCTTTGCCTCTCTTCAAAATCTTGGATGCCTCGTCTAACTTCAATCGATCGTCTCTGTTCAAATTGACGCATCCCCTGTAAACACCCTCTAACTCCCGCCAAACCGTTGCGCGGTCGATTTCGTACTTGACATCTTGTAAGGGATGCTGCTTACTTCGCATCAGGGAGGTGATAAGCGTTTTAAGGTCCTCTTGGGAACCGATGCCCTCGGCTGATCGTATCTCTAAGAGATATGGGCATTTAAGACTTGGGTTTATCATGGTAAAAAATATCATTTCCAGTGCCCAAATATCTGCAAGCTTGAAGTCAGTAATAGATGTGCCAGATAAAAGCTTTTCTTTTAACAGAAGTTCTGGCGCCATGTAAACTACTGTCCCACGATCAACGTGGTTACTTTTTGAAGCAAGAACCGTCTGCGTCTGAACAAGAAAAGAACAGCTTTCGCCAAAGTCAGTAAGTTTACACGCAACCGGTCGAGACTGATACATGAGCTTGAATTGGTCACTTTGCGCCGATAATGAGCTGTAATGTTGATTACTAACTAGTATGTTCGGGGACTTGAGGTCTCTGTGAGCGATTCCATGTTCGTGAAGATAACTCAGCCCCTCAAGCATTTCCTTTGCTGCGTGAATTATTACATCGTGAAACCCTTCACAGTTCTGAACATCAATTTCCAAAAGGAAATCAGACAGGGCGCTGACACGGACGTCTTGGCCAAATGGCTTGAAATTAAAGTAAACGTATTCAAGCATCATAGCAAAAGGCTGATAGCAGACCGCCTTGAATCGCACGACACTGGTATGATTTAAGCCATTCACAATGGCCACTTCTTTAGAGAATAGCTTCTTCTCTTCTTGGTCCAGGGCATTTATCATTTTTTTAATCACCACTGTCTCGATTTTGTCAATTACCGGAGCCTTGAACTCTGCGGTGTAGACATCGCCAAAGGAACCTTGCCCAATTCGCTCATTAATTGATAAATTGTTAAATTCGAATCGGGTAATCCCGTCATTTTCAGCCAATTTCCCTTTTCGTGTAAGCTGGGGAAGCTTGAATTTACGAAAATTCGACATAGCTTTAGCCGCGTGACATTTTGGCCAACAAACGTCCAATAATTGTAATTTGAACACCTTGAACTACGTGCTCGTTGCCCAGGAATGTCTGTGTCTACCACCCCGCCGAGCCCATTCTAAAAATAACTCAGTGGCTGCGATGAATTTTAAGAATAGCCTGTCACTGAGTGAGTACTAGTACAAAAAAACATTAGCTATTAGATATAAATATAGAGGCAAGACCGATACAACGTAGAGTAGTTTTAAGACGGAGCACTATATTTCGGCTGGCCAAACCAGCCTTCTTCAGGTGCAGTGGGAATTGACATAGAATTAAGGTGGTACTTAACTAACCGCCACCCGGTTAGCTCAATTGGTTAGACCGCCGTATTGTGTTGTGCGGGAGGTCGAGGGTTCGAGCCCTGGCCGGACCAATACTCATGGTCTTAAAATAATTGAGGAGAATTTACC